CTACCCGGACAAAGTGGAGCCGTTTGGGATGACTAGCGAGTGCCAAGTCCATGCGCGCGCGCTGGAGGAAGAGGTAGCAGGCCTGGTGGAGGAGGCGAGGGAAGAGGTGGCGGCTGCGCTGAAGGCTGCCCTGCAGGTGCCGCTGCAAGAGATCTGTAAGGTGGTGGTCGAGGCCAAGTGCCCGACGATTTACTCCGCCCGCGGCCTTCGCGCCACGGTGCAAGGCGAGTGCGGGAAATGGGTCAGGAGGCACGATGCCGTGGGGGCCGCGCTCTCGTCCCGCATGCTGAAGCGGGTCCTGCTCCGCTTCATCGATGAGGAGCTGGGGGAGTGCCACGCGCAGGTGAAAGAGAGAGAGGTCGAGTGGCGAAAGCGATGGGTGCGGTTGGGCATAACAGTTCTGGTTGTCGTCTCTGCTACGCTCGTTCTCATGCTTCTCGGAGCTATGGGCAAGCTTCCAGCGATGGTGATGGAGGAAGGGGAGGAAGGGGAACGTGACGGGGTGATGAGTATGGAGGGGGAGTACGAAAAAGAGGGATTGAGTGGCATGTTGGGCGTGAGTTCCCCCACCCTGGCTCGACGACGACGTCGCAGTAGTATTCTGGGATTGCTCTCTCCTTACAAAGGTAAGTAGGAGTGAAATATCCGTGGTCACTGTCAATATCTCGTCGAGAAAGAACAACGAGGAGCTGGCATCGGAAAGTCTGGGAAGAGTAATAAAAGCGCAGATTAAATTGAAATGAGGCGAAAAGTTGCATATATTGCTATTGTCATTGTGGCATCAAAACAGTTCGTTCGAGAAAAGGGGAGCACAATCGACTAGAAAAAAAGTGAGTTGTAAGGAGACCAGTGGAAAGCTTTAAGGAATCAAGGGGTGTGTGGTTCAGTGAGTCTGAGTGAAAAAAAATGCTTCTGTCCATTATTACGTCATGAAATACACTTAGTTTTCGCCCCTTCTTGCTTGTTCTGCCTTCGACTTACATTTCAACAAAGCTTATTAAAAAGAAAAACTGCAAGGGAAAAGATGGGAGCGTACCGTCGCATGCACAATTCACGCAATATTCGGCCTCTCTCCGAACAGTCCCACAAAGCCTATATATTTTCGGCAGATACATGATTTGTAATTCATATGCCGACTTATTGGTACATTGTAAATGTTGCGGCATTGGCCATTAGATTTGCGGCTCGAAAGGTGTGGAACGCCTGGGGGCCACGAGAAGGACTGTATGCCGCCATGTTTGATTAAAGCAATCGAGGCGTGTCCCATCATTTTCTTCTTTACGATGCGTCGCCTGCTCTTACCGGGTGCTTTTCTATCCATGCTCTATCACGGGCATTAATCACTAGATGAAAGACGCGATGTTTCATGTTCTCCTGCGGCTGAGTGCGAGAGCCGGGACTGGGACATGATTCCATCCCAGTGGACACGCTTTCCTCATTTCCTCCTATTTTTTCCTTCATACTATGTGCTTTACTCTGTAGGAACTCGCTTTGCTATTTTGGCGCTCCGGTCCTGAGTTCTTGTCGTGGAGATTCCTTCTAAAAGTACCTCCAATCATCATGGTAAACTTCCCCTTCACTTGTCACACGCTACCGTATATTCCCTCCAAACTTTGCTTAGAGACTTCAGTCTTTGCGTTTCTATTCTGCTACTCATATTTATGTTTATGTCAAAGCATTTCTGCTGCTATGATTTCTCATGTCGTTTTGTGGATGAACATTCCTTGTTGTCATTCAGTGGAGCGCACATGTGCCTGCACGCCCAAGTCTTGCCGCTGCTCTTCCAGTCCACCAGCACAGCTCTTTCCTAGGCCACATCCCTCTTTAAAACTTAGACGATGAAAGTCTACATGTGTTCTCTTTCCGACAAATAATTTCGCCCATGCTGTTTCGCTGTTATCTTCTCTTCCCCCGACCTTCTCATCCTCTTTCAGGATTTTCAAGGGCAAAAACTATCGGAGTATTTATATTACTACCTCATTGTACTCTGCGGCGCGGCTGGCTGGATTTACGGCTACATGCAACAGTCCTTTCTCCCGACGTTTTATGCATGGGCGGTAGGCCTGGCTCTCTCTTTGATCGTCTGCACGCCGGACTGGCCTTTTTACAATCGACACCCCGTAGCTTGGCTGAAAGAATTCCCACGCCTGTCTTCAGGGGGGGGGGATAAGAAAGATTGACTTCGGCAACGTACTAACAGGCGTAAAGAAACAACAGAAGACTGCTATGGCACGTCCTTACTGGCGAGCGGGACTGGAATTTTGTTTGTCTCTCTCTGCGGGTATGCACCGGTGCTGAAGAAATTTCATGGTATCCATATCCTGTCGAAGACACAAGTGAGTGTGTCGACGGAAAACGCGCTCATAACGATATTTGACATGCTGAAGTATCTGAGGAGGAATCATGCTCTCCATCGAATTCGTCAGTGAGGAGTACTGTGGATTCTACCTTTTCAGCCCAGTGAGCTCGCTTTTTTATCTCATTTCTTTTCGTTAGACAATGTATGCGATGAGCATTACGAGCGTGTACAATTTCTATAGTAGTGTGCACATGTTCGCGATTGCGTCGTACATGGGGCAACATCGAAAGACAGCTTACATTTTTCGAGCCTCCTGTTTTGGTGTTACAAATGAGTAAAGAGGAGGTGGGTGATTAAGCAATTTTTAAAAATCTGTGCGCGAGCAGGAATAAATTCTTGTAAGCGTCGATGCGCGCAACTGACCATTGTGTTGCAGCATCGTGCTGCAGCAATCTTTCTCCCCTTTCCTTCGAAGATGTCATTTTATGACCAAAAGTTACATTTTTAGATATTATAAAGTAGAAAGTTTAATCAATCTGTCATCTCCCATCGCGAGCTATATGCAGGCTTTTTCTTGCTGCTCTAGATCTCCACACAGGCCTCAACATAAAATCTCCTTCATGGTATCTGCTCGTGTCTGCCAGGGCGTGCATCTAAGAGCATCTGCTAGAAAATAGCCAGTGTATAATTGGCTTCTCGCATCACTATTATTTTATCCATGTTTGCCGCGAATAACGAGATTTAAAGCCATGCCTGGAATGCGGACAACGCGTATGTATCGCCGAGACACGTAAACAACTTCAACGCACAAAATAACGCGTTGGAGAGACGCGGTACTTCCTTACCATCGTATTCTTGTCTTATTTGAGCCTATTCCACAGTGATAACAGTATTCTTTCATTACACATATTGAAATTATAAATCTCCGGCTTTTATCGTTGAAGTTTTCAGTAGAATGATCTCAGAAGTGACGGAGTTTTCAAGAGATACTACCGCGATGTCTGAGGTACGTTTCTTCATGCCATGTTAGGGTTACCGCATTGAAACGTCTGATTATATTCACTCGGAGTGATGCCTCTTTATTGTGACAATTTCTTACCTTTGCATGATTATGGGCAGTACGGAAGTTTTGCGAAGAAAACCAGAGTCGGAGCTGCAACGGGCGGGCCTGTAGCAAAGTGTCCATCTATCCTGTCACTCGCTCTTCTCGTGGTCCTCACACTGGGATCATGTAATGCTTTGGTGTATAAAATCATGTACCAAGTCTATGGTTCTGATGGCGCGTTTTTTGTTTCGACGGGCGTCAACATTTTGTACATTATCTACGGCGGGCTTTTGCTGTACCCTCGGATGCTTTTCACTGATAGCATCACGCCCGCTATGAAAGCCCTGCCGAAGCGCCGATTCATAATAATGGGATTCCTCGACTGTTGCGGCACATTTCTCGCGGCGATGGGTGCCGTCTATACGCCAGGGAGTGTGCAAACCCTCCTGAACCAGACGCTCATCCCGACCACCATGATCGTCTCAGCCTGCTTCTTGAGGACACACTTCTCCAACGTCCAATTAGCAGGGGCGGCCCTGGTTCTGATGGGGGCCGCGGTCACTGTCCTGCCTGCCTTTGTCACGGCGGAGAGCGATAGCAACAATGGGCATGGAGCGAGCCCTTCTCAATCTCGGTGGTACGCGAACCTGGTCTTTTTCGCCAGCAACCTCCCAGTGGCGTGCTCCCAAGTGGTAGGGCTCCTGGGTTGGGATCTCACTTGCGTGTCACTTGCGTGGATATCGATGGGAATTTGTAACGAGGGGCGCGAGTGGATGCACCAAACTCGTCTCCATTTTCACCTCGTCTTTACCTTGATGGCCATGCACCTTTCATTAGCCGGGGAAGAGGAGCGAAAGCGCCGCGAAGCAACAATCTCTCACCCCCCTCCTTCTACTATCTTTTTTTTCGCACGCCTCCCCTAGTACAAGGAGAGGGCCTTCAAGCGGGACAGGGTTGATGTCCTGTACCTGACCCAATGGGTGTCTGTCTTCCAGTTCTTCTTCGGCCTGGCCCTTGCTCCTCTTCAAGCCCTCCCTGGCATCGGCAGCGCCCACGGCGTCCCTCTCTCCTCCATCCCCACCGCATTCCTCGAAAGCTGGGACTGCTTCCTGGAGAAACCCACCTCCGTGTGTCACGGTCAGTGGCCCGCCCCCTCCCTCCTCCTGCTCGCCTTCTGCGCAGTCAACCTTGTCTTCAACACGGGAGGACTCTACGTCTCTAAGCACGGCTCCGCTGTTCTCAACGTGATCACCTACGCGGTTCTTCTCCCCGTGACCACCCTCATCTTCTCTTTGCGGCCCCTCATGGGTGCCTTCACAGAGCCCCTGTCGGCGAGCACGGTGTTGGGCTTGCTCCTGGTGCTCCTGGGATTTTATCTCTATCAAGAGCCAATGCTATGGCTGGGGAGACGCGACCACGGAAAAGGCGTAGATGGGGGGGACGAAAGGGTAAGGTGCTCAGGGAAGGACTGGAAGAGGATGGAGGGGGAGCGGAGACGGTGGAGGAGGAGGAAGAGGAGGAGGAGGATGAGGAGGAGCAAGGCACTATGGGCATACACGTGCCTTCCTTTCAGGAGCGTGTGGTGGCAGGCTTGGGTCCAGCCATCTATCAGGCTCATACACAGGGGCATCCCTACCAGTTGGTGCCTCCAATGGTGAATGTAGGGGTCTCTGATGCTTCCATTTTTAATGGGGAGTGATGGGGAAGTTGTACAGAGCATGTAAAGCAACAGGACAGAAACGCAGCGTATACATCGCTATCACATTTTCTAAGACAATCTTATACGACATCTCATTTTGAAATTCGGCTGCGGGACCGGAGTTCTCTTATACCCATTTCTTTTGCTCATTGCCCTTTTCAAGTCTACCTTTTCCATCCATACATACCTCATCCAAAATCCTTTCATTTTTTCTTCACATGCTCTATCGTGCTGCACTTTTTCCAGCCTCCGGATGTTCTTTCAGCCATTTGGGGCTGTATGAGGCAGGTATTGTATCGATCAATGCAGCCATAATCAGATCGTTCTCGGTCAAACCTCCTACCGCGTGTGTGTACAAGACCACTTCTACTTCCCTGTAGCTCGTCAGGTGTAAGTCTGGGTGGTGGCCTTCGCACTCAGCGACAGCTCCTACTGCATCTATAAAAGCGAGGGCAGCGGCGAAATTTTTGGCCGTGAAAGAACGAGAGAGTCGCTTATGATCTTTACTTAGACGCCACAAAGGGAGTGAGGGGAGGACGGCTTGCACGCGCTCGATCGACAACGCTGGAAGTCCTCCTTCGCACGGAAGGCAATGCTTTTTTGCGTCACGAGTGCACGAGGGCGGGCTGACTTCAGGAGCAGATTCGCTCATGCTATTGCAATAAGAGGTAGATAGTGCAGCAGGGGAGAAGGACACTTGGAAAGCTGCGCTTACGGCAACAAGGACCACGCAAGGTGTTGACAGCAAAAGCTGACGCATGCACTGCCAATGCACTATGAATGAAAGGTGTGTTAGCCGGGAGAAAGGGCCGCCAAGCATTTGTCAAAGAGAAAGATAACCAGGCGTGCCGCACGGAGGCACCGTCATGATGCTAGCGAGACGATAACAGGGCTACTGCAGGAACATAAAAGAAGGCTGTACGTCCCCACGTATGCGTGAAAGGAAACATTGCCTTTCACGCTATTCGCACGCGCCTTTCGAGTATATAAGTTGAAACTCATCACAACTATGATCAATTCTGCTAGAAAACGCAGAAAGAAGTTGTTTGGGTTGTTTTGTGCGGTGACAGTCGCGTCTTCAACGCAAAGTGGGCTGCAGCTGCCTCCCTGCTTTTCTCAAGCATAATTCAATTTATGGAGACTAAGCTCCGTCGCCATCAACGCTCAGTGTGTAGCATTTGTATCTACAGATTCAAGATGATTGCATAAGCTGGATGTTTATGGTACCTAACAAGGAGCGGACGGGTGGACCATTTTACGTGAAGCTACCTGCCACGGCAACAACAGCACCGTCTGAAAGCTTTTTGAAAAGAGGTCTCATATATTTTGCAAGTAAGTCATTAACAAGGAATAAACCTCATCAAGAATTTTGGAAACCGAAAATTTAAGAGGTAGATGCATCACATGGGGAACAAGAGGTGCTATCTTCGGTTTCTTCACATCGTCGACACCTTCTCTCGACTCGGAGAGATCAAGTTGATGGCTTGATTTGTAGGCCATGACACTCACAGAATAGATGTAACCATACATCAAGTGGTGTGTTCGAGTCACAGAAGCCAAGCTCGCCGAGTATTTCAGATTAGAATTCTTTTTTACGGTGTGGCATCGCTTTCACAAGTCTAAGTCCTCTTTATACGCTCAGTGATTGACACTCGCGTTCAAACTACCTGTACATATCCATACACAGTTATACGTGTTTCCTGGTTCCATCTTATCACTAGAGATTGACTCATGCCCTCTTCGGTAAGGGACCTTGGAACGCCGAAGCAAAAGGAAGTTTATACCGACGTTCCTTCGCACTTCTTCTTTGGGCTCGGTCACCACACAGATCTAACACACGGCCAGGCAACTTTCTTTTTGCCTCAATTTCTAAAGTACTTCGTAGCCTCCACCCCCCTCAATGCATGAACACCGTGCTCGCTGAATGCTTCGCTCTAGCTGAGAAAAAAGGAAGGTTGATCGCCCAAAGACACCAAAATAGCACGACCTCCGTTCCAGCGTTTCTCCAACCTTGCCAAGAGGAAGCGCCCGGCACATCCTACATAGTCTCCGGCTCATTGCGACACCTGGAGCCGACGCTTGAAGGCTTGAAGGAGCTGGTCTTTACCGGCCGCATCCAATTTCCCTTGACCCACCAGCCACTCATTGTACTGTTCGACGCCAGAACGCATGGCATGAGAAAAACGTGAGTTGAGTCCATCCTTCTTAACATGCTTGCAAAAGACAGCTTCCCGTCTCCCCTCCAAAATGCCCCCTCCGTTTACCTGCAGAAGCTCCTTGCTCACGTGCTGGAGGACAGGCGCCTGCCCGTTGTGCCGCAACGTGAGCTCGCAGCGTGGAAGCCGCCAGGGCTCTCCATCCACCTGTACGCCCCCACAGAATATACCGCGTAAGTCAAGGCTTTATCACTACTTTCGATGCACACGATTGCTTAGCAGGTTCCACAGACTTTGATTCACAACACGCAATTGACGACCCTGCTCCTCTGTGCCCAACCTCTGCTCGTCCCGGCATGGTACGCACCTGCCCCGGCAAGAAGCTCTTTGTCCTGATCCGTACTTCCTTTGCTTGCGCCAGTCGAAGCGGTCGATCCAAACCAACCCGTATCCTTCCGAGGTGCAGCACGCCTGAAATGGCCACCACCTCCAAATACCCGTCGTCAAAGCGCGAAGGCTTAAAGGCGCTGTAACGGTTAGGAAAGGGGAAGTTACGAGGGGAAAGGAGGGCAAGCAGTGAAAAAATGGGTTGGAACGGGCAGGAAGGCCGGCAAAGGGAGGGCATTGTACGGGAAAAGCCTTCCTAGCCCGGGGCTCCGCACGAAACAAGCAGGGTGTTCTCTCCGAGGAAAGGGCCGGGTGCCGTTCTCAAGCATGACGATTAAGGACAGAAACCATTGTTTTTCCTCCCGCCCCCCTTCCTTTACCACACCTACCCCTCCATCCCTCCGCCCATGAGATACTCGGGCCAGAGCTCCACGCCCCCCGCATGGGAATTGATGTTGAGGACGATGAAGGACTCGGTCTGGGGGGGCAGCACGATGGGCTTCCCATCACACCAGAGCTCAACCTTGTCCGGCAGGTTCTTGCAGGATCGGACGAAAAAGTCCCGAAGACCCATCAGGGCGTAGTAGAACTTGTTGAGGGTGGGGGACAGGAAGAGGTAGGGGGCGCGGTCGCGGAGCTTGTGGAAGTCGAGGGCGACCTGCTCCGATCAGGGCAGGCAGGGGGAGGGGGAGGATGGAAGGAGGGTGGGGAGGGTGGAAGAAAGGATGACACATGACTATTTCAACCCCGCTGCACGAGCTCTCCAGGGAGAGCCACGGGGGCAATCACATCAGGCAGGGCCCCCCTGCTCCTCGTGCTCTCTCTTCTTGGCTGTACGCCCTGTCGTCTCACCTTCCCGTCCACCCCGATGCCCAAATACCCCAGCATGTACTTGACCGGCTGTCTGTGCCGGTCCAAGGAGGGGACGGCCTGAGAAGAAGGTGGTCGAGGCGGAAACGATTTGAGCCAGTACACTGAGTATAGTCGTTCCTTCGTGAGCATCTTTCGCAGTTTTTCTTCCCGTTACCTCTGTCATGCGCAATTCCCATCGATCCATCTTCCTCTCCATGGCGCGGGTCAAGTCCGAAAAGACGCCTGGAGGGAAGAGAAAGGATTGAACGCGTCAAAATAGTCACACAGTGCATGTAATATTAAATCACAAGGGAGGTGCCAAAAGGTGGGAGAGGAGAAAGAAGCGTGTGGAAAACGCGTACTTAGGAGGTTGGCATCGGCGGCATCGTTACTCCATGGGAAGTAACCGCCCGACCAATCGTGACCTGGAGGAAGAGAGGGAGTGAGAGAAAGAGGAAGGAAGCAGGGAGGGAGGGAGGGAGGGAGGACGGGAGAGGGAAAGATCGGCACGTGAGGAGGAACAAGGGCAAGAGCGGCTCAGTGGGCGGGAAGAAGGAGGGGGCGTACCAAGATTCCAGTCCAAGACTCGGGCGATATCGTTGCCGGTGCCCAGGGGGACGATGGCGATTTTGGGAGGGCCTGTAGGGAGAACGAGGGACGCCTGGTGAGCAACGGGGCTGCGTTCTCCCCCCCCGCCCTCCCTTCCTTCCTCCCTTCCCTCCCTCCCTCCGTACCGTGCTTCCACTCCATGCCGTCCACGACCTCGAACACACGGGAGGCCGTGCCGTCTCCCCCGCAGACGAGGAGCGTACAGCTGTTGGGGAGGTGGCAGTAGAGGGACAGGGCCTCCTTCAGGTCAACCTGGAAGGGAGGGAGGGAGGGAGGGAGGAAGGGACAAGATATGATAGAGGGCGAGACCTCAATCAGGCAGACGGTTGAGGAGCATGTCCTGGGAAGTTCCGCGTCACACATGACCAGTCTCCTCGAGCCCTTAAGACCCCTTGTCTAAGAAGCCGCATTTTGTGCCGCTCCACGGTTAAGTCTTCAATTCCAGTCGCCACCTCCTCCTCCGCTCTGCCTTCGCCTCTGTCCCTCCCTCTCCTTCGCCCCTACCTTCTGGATGTCGAAGACCTGGGCTCGGCTCAGGGCCGCTCTAAGGCGCTTGAAGAGATTCTTGCCCTAGGGCGAGGGGGAGGGAGGGAGGGAAGAGGGAGGCAGAGAGGAAGGGAACGAGGCGGCATATCAACAGAAAGGAATGAAGGAATGCAGAGAGAGGATTATCCTGTCTGCTCGGATCTTTCTCCCCTGCTTTACCTGCCGGCCTCCACTCTTGCTGTTGACGATGGCGATGAGAGGGGTGACACTGGGGGGGAGCGTCTTAATGCGGTTGATGCCTGGAGGGAGGGAAAGAGGGAGGGAGGGAGGGAGGGGAGGAGGCAGTCAACCGGGAGGAGACGTTGCGCTCGCCATGAAAAGATTGCCAAGGGTGGAGAGGAGATGGGACAGGGCATGCGAGGGAGAAATCGGTACCGATGGGGCGTTTCCGCCGGGGTCGAGGCAATCCTCGGCGGAAGAGGAGGGACCACGGGGAGCGCCTGATGGGCCGCGCGCTGGGGGGGAAGAGGGAAGGGGGTGGGACACCCAGAGGGAGGAAAGCAGAAGGAGTGCCCGGCTTGCCCCTTGTGGCCTTTCCCATGTCGCTGCTGCTGTCTCTGGGATTCATGTGCCCCGGTTTCCACGCAGGAGGGGCTATGACCCCTTCCTGCCCCTCCTCCTCTTCTTCCCCTCCCTCCTCCTCCTGCTCCTTGTCTTCCGCCGCACCCAAAGAAGAGGGGGCAGGGCGATGGCTCGGGTGGAGAGAGACGCGGCGGCGGCCATCCAGGCCCTGGTGCTGGTGGGGGTGGCCCATGGCTTTGTGGTGCCCTGGTAGGGAGATGGACGACACGAGGATATGGGGGAGAGGGCAGTGATGAGTCATGGAGAAGGGCACATGAGCGATGGAACGATGGAGCGGGCGAGTGGGAAGGGAGGGAAGGGAGGAAGGACGAAAGAAGGGATACAGATGAATAGAGTCGTGACCCAGCCACCGAGCTCGGTAGAGGCAAGTCGTTTCCCAAGAGGCACCCGAGAAAGCCTACACATGACGGACCGATTTCTTTCAGCTTGCTCTTCAGCGCGGCGAGCTTGGGAGTTGGGTACTCAACGCGATCCTCCGGCACGATAAAATGAGGAACAGCTGCCTCCACCTCCGCCTGATGCAATGCGAAGAAAGAACGAAAGTCAAGACACGGAGCAAGACGGGGGGCGAAAGGAAAAGTAAAGGCAAGTGTGGCATCATTACACGTCTCCTATTCTCTGCAGCCGCGATCCCCCTCCCGCCCTC